TTTTTTTTGTTTTTTTTCTTATTTTTAGTGTGCAGGTTGGAAGCCCTGTGAGGAATAAATTTGGCCCGAAAATTGACCAGACAACCATGGTTGAGTAGAAGGGCTCGTTGGCAACATGTAGAAAAAAGCGGAACTCAATTCCAAGTTTGCACGAGCTCGAACGGGCCCAAACGCAAAGTCGCGCGAAGCACGTCTTTGGTGTGCTGATCATAAGCTTTGGGAGAATAGTATTTCAATAATAATTTGGTCATACAAGCATCATTGAATAGAGGAGTTCGTTGGCAACACGTAGAAAAAAACAGAACTCAATTCCGAGTTCGAACGAGCCCAAACGAATCCGAAATGTAAAGTCATGCAAACCGACGTTAATACTAGGTACCAAATTCGCAAAAACGTAAAGATCAAGTTGTATTTTTACAATAAATAAAGAATAGATACCAAAATCACAATTATCCTATAGTACATGTACTCAAATAACAATTACCCGACAATAAATGAGTTCAACCATATATACACCACGAAACCAGAAGTAGCCACGTTGGTCTATTTATGTGTAGCTGATAAAATGTCAATCACGTTCCTACTTGTGTTTCGTACTAAGATGATGAGACCGCCTTATGTTTCAGTGAACAGTGCACTATGGATATGATGTAGTATTCATAAAGTGAGTCCGGTTTAACACGTGATCTATGGTATAAAGATAGATGATATTCTATTGAATGTCTATTGAGATTTATAAAACTAGTACCCGCATAATATTTTAATTGTCTTATAAATTAAATAAATAAATAATATTAATTATGATTTACTCATTATTTTTAAATTAAACCGGGTTGGACACAGTCCGGCCCGATGGACCGAGAACCGGTTTATAACCAGCCTATTGCGCTTGAATAAAATATTTGCTATCGAATCCATCAACATCAGTATGTTTGACTGGTAGGATTGATACGATTTTCTAAACAAATTTTGTTACATTAAAAATTATTTTAAATAAAATTACATATTTAAATAAAATAAAGATTTATAAATTGTTTATCAATTAGTTTAAACATTTGAATTTATAAATTGTTTAGATATTTAACTAACACTTTTTATTTAAATTTATTACAAAAAGTATTATATATATATATATATATATATATATATATTAAAGTATTATGTATTAAAATCTGAACAACCACAAATGATTAATAAAATAACTTGACGGTCCGGTTCTGAAAACCTTGTATTTACCGTACATTAATAAAAATGATAATAAAATAATTATTTTGTTCACATAAATAATAATAAAATAATATATAAATATTCATAAATCATTAATGATGTTGTTGTAAAAGTATTGTTAATATGATTACTTTGAGCTTTGGACTACATAATAAAGTATTTTCAATATTAAAATTTATATTTAGGTTCAATAATCGATTTGGTCTGGTCAAACTGATACATAACTTACTTACCTGGGACCAGCCAAATTATGTCATGTTTTTTTACTATTTTAAATATCACCTAAAAGTAATTCAATCAACGTGGGCAGTACCCTAATTCAGTCACCCGATTGATCCAAAGTAATTTCATTATTTTCTTTAAATATAATATTTAATTTTATGAAATAAAAATTTTTTATGATTCATATGTCTGCACCAAATGATAGTATATTAAGATTATAAATTATATATCTAAAGATGAATGATTTATTTTTATTTTATGCATATTAATAAAAAATAAACATAGTAATTTAAAAAAAAAAAGATTAATTNGTCCTATTCATAATTTCTTGAAGTTTGATTATATTTCAATTTAGGTAAAGGGTTAAATCTGCAATTTAGAATAAATGTATAAAGAAAAGATTATGTTTATATATTTCTTTATACATATATATTAAAATAGTAAATAAATATTAAATAAAAATATTATAAGATATCAAAATAGCATTGGACATAAAAAATCATTTCGACTATTTAAATTACACATTATAATAAAATCTTATATCAATATTGATAAAAATATTAAAATACTAAAATTATTTTTTATAAAAAGTATCTGCAATTTGAATGCACATTAATGATAGACATATTGCACATTAGCAACTAAGGGGGTGATTGTTTATGGATTCAACTAGTTTTTATTTGGTTTGTTTTTTAACTATAGTTAATGTTGAAAAAATGTGGTATGATTAGTTGTTAATGGGAATTTAAGTTTAAATTAAAATATTATTTGAGATAAAATAATTGAAGTTGATTTGATAAAAAAGTAGGAGAAAAATGATTGGAAGTGATGATTAGTTAAAATCAGTGTTCTAAAAGTCGTTAGGCGCCCGCTAGGCGCTCAACCAGCATCTAGCGCCTAGAGCGTCTAGTCGGGGCCTAGGCGGCGCCTAGTCGGGGCCCAGAAATCAATATCAAATGCCTTATTTTTTAATTATTTTAACTACCTACAAAATAAAACTATTAACTTATAATAAATTCACACACCAAAGTCTAAATAATAATATTAATATATATTAAAGAAAACATGAGAATAAAATAATGTAATTAGTATTAAAAAAAAAACTGAAAAATTGCCGCCTATGCCCGCCTAGACGCCGCCTAACCGCCTGGTCGCCGAGCCCGCAAGCCCGCCTTGGAACGCCTAGGGCCGCCTAGGCCCGCCTGCGCGCCGCCTAGCCGCCTGACCAATTTTTTCTGCCGATTTGTACAAATCGGAGGCGCCCGGGCACCGCCTAGACCGATTTTTAGAACAGTGGTTAAAATTATGTGAGTAGATGAATAATGAATTAAAATTTATGTGATGTATAAGAATGGTTTGGTTGATATTATTTAATTATATTGATAATTTTGAGGATGGTTGAATTGAGCTAAAGTTGAGTTAAATTTGAGTATTTATTAGTTTTTCCAACAAATTTAAGGGAGGTGAACTTGACATATAACGAGTCGATAGATCCGTCAAGGCACGTGAGGTCGTTCGAGAATATGGCGATTTTTGCACGGGTCAGGTATCGTGGCATAGTAAGTTGTTGAGCTTTCCTTGCCACCTTGAGGAGAGGAGCTCCCCCCGGGATCGGTGAAGGATTTTGAGGATTTATCAAGCTTGTTTTTGAACCAATACGCCAGAGCAATTGCTCAGGAAAAGATCTATTTGACGCTAATAATGATGAGGCAAGATGGGTGAGTCATTGAGACACCATGTGGCTAGGTATAATCGGTCATGTGTGAAGATTCCCGTGAAATTATAAAATTAACATGTATATTTACACTATTATTTTGAACAAATATAAAATTAATATGATGTTCATTACTTTAAATATCATATTACCTAATTTTCATGAAATTAAAAAATATACGAGAAAATTTAGTATTTTTAAATTATTTTGCCAATCTATAAGATTATTTTAGTACTTTACAAATTAAAAAATTAAAGTGAAATCAAAAAAAATTTCCATTTTATCAATTTATAAAGAGTTAAATTGCAAAAAAAAAAAGTTGGAATGCAAAAGTTCGCGTCCATATGCAAATTTGCGTCCAAGGGAGGAGAGAGAATTGACCAAACAGATTTTGCGATCCAAAATGCCGATTGATTGGAGGGAATGATACTACAAATTTTGTCATTTACAGTGCGGGTGGAGAAGGTCTAAGTACTTAAAGTGTTTATGAAATGAATAACAAAAACAGTTCCTTAGTGATGTAAGAATACAACACTGAATCACTGTAAACTAAACAAATGCAAACTTAAAACTCATGAACAGTCAATGAATAACAAGAATATAAAACTTGATAATTGCAGCTGGCGTTCTCTATGTCTTCGTGCACGCATATATACGAACTCCTCCATGGTAAGGAACTTTCACATTCCCATGTATTAACATCCTTCTATGTGGATTTACTTCCCTTCCACATTAGCTTCTTCAAGACTCGGACATGATCTCCTTCGTATTAAAACTGAAATCTTTTAATCACGAACAACTCCTATTTCCTTTTGACGTGCGATCCTTCCTACTAAGAATGAAACACATGTTATAGAAACAATATCTACTAGATACTAATATAGGAAAAGACTACAATTCCGTAAGGGGATGGTTCCCTCAATTCATATAAACCATTAAATCTTTTAGTTTTGATATTGATCAATAGATGCAATTAAGTAAAAGTGATGTGACAATTTCTTATTGGAGTTTTATTTAGATGTAGTATCTAATAAATAAGAAATTTGATCAAATATAAAAGAGAGCAATGGAATCTTCTCTTTTAATTTGTTTTGGTTGTCTGATCAATAAAATCATCAAAGTATTTAGATATCAAACTTTTGCCAAAATTAAATCTTACACTTTAGAAATATGTTTGTCTTTTACGTTTTATCCATGTTCCATGTTAATTTCCTCATCTTCTTATTACATCCTTATTTTCTTAAGATAAGGCACAAGTTAATAAAACAGCCAAAGCAAATAAAGAAAAATACATAGCACACACAAACCTAACCACACACAAAATACACAAGCTAATATATAGAATAACACTCTCCCCATCATGAAGAAGCTCGGCACAGAACACGAATCTAGAAACTCACTTCAAACGACGACTAACTACATCTGGCCCAACAGATCAATACACTCCCAACGGACCAACAACATATAAACTCCATGAGGCCCGCGCCAAAACCCCTCCCCCTGCAAAACCCAGCGGCTGCAGCCAAGACCGGCCGAAGCCGAGAACCACCCAGAGAACCCCCAACCACCCAACACCAAGAAGGAATAGAAAGGGAAAAAGGAAGGAAGAAGCGCGATCCTCAGTCTCGATTGCCGCCCAACATTGGCGACCGTCCGTAGCCACCTGAAGTTGGGAAAATCCACCGGACAAGGAAACTACGACCACCAAGCGAGCCGCAATCGTCCTTGGAGCTGGACAGAGCCTCGCGGGTGTGGAGTTCCCACCGATGGAGAGGCGCGCCCAGATCCGATTAGAGAGGAGGGTTCTTTTCGACAATGAAATTAGACAGAAAAGTGTTGAACCTTACAGATTCTTCTTTTTCATTAACCAATTAACCAAGAATTTAATGGTTTCTGGCTCGCTTGCTTACAAAATAATTTGACCAAAATGAGTTATTTTGGTTAACCAGAGTTAATTTTGAAAAATGTAGTATGGTTAGTTGTTAGTGAGATTTTAAGAATGTATTAAAATAATATTTAAAATAAAATGATTAAAATTAATTTGACGTAAAAGTATGAGATAAATAATTAGAAATGATAGGTAGTTAAAATTATGTGAGTGGATGAATAGTGAATTAAAGTTGATGTGATGTGTAAGAATGATTGGTGTGTATTATTTAATTTTATGAATAATATTAAAGATAGTAGGGTTGAGTTAAAGTTGAGTTAGATTTTGAGTATATAAATTAAACGTGAGTGAAATAATTTATAAACAAAGCATGCCTTAAATTTTTCTTACGTAATAGTACTAGTTTTCCTACAAACAAAAACTACTACTAATAATGTCATTAGGGGAAGAAAAAATCTAAGTTTTACATGGATACATTCCATTTTTTCTTCAACATTGTAGATATGGACATTTTGCATTGAAAGAGGGCTGGGATAGGTTGTAACGAAGTATTCCTAAAAAAAAAAGAAAAGAAAAAAAAAAGGGCCTCGATTGCCCGTTCATAACAATGTTGACCTCGAGTGCAGGTCTGAATCCCGACTGATCAAGTTTTCGTAAACTTCAGAATGTGATTTGAGCTCATATGTCAGAAGACTGATTCTAATGAACTTGAATATTCAAGTGCATTTACCATATTGACAACTCAACTGCAACTTGATCTAATTAATTTGAAGACTTTGAAAGTCCAGTTTAGGGGCCTGGGGTTGTAATTTGTTGGGTAAACAATTGTTCACATAGAAAGAGATATAGTAGCTACTCAAATTCTTAGATTTGGCAGAACTTCAAACATATAGTAACAACCTAATCACAACTGCACCACATAATAGTCTTCGATGGTACAATATGTACGAATCTTATCGTAATTAGCAATAATTTTGACTTTGTCAACTTATCTGGGGTATGACCAAAAATGTCCAAACCAGCTGGAAGGAAAAACCCAATCCAGATTTGGATTAAAGCCATATCAAATCATAAATTCAACATTTGATCAAAGGTTTCTAGACTTCTTGTCCACATTATGTTTAGTCCAACTTGGATGCATGAAAGCAGATCTAAGAAATATATTCAGTAATCCAGAATCCACTAAAGATCACACATAAGTTCCATTTGTAGTTACTTATACAAAGCACCAAGTGCCTCGAACCCAAATCTCTCTGAAGATTACACATAAGTAGATTTCTTTTTACTCATACAACACATTTATAAACCGCAAGCATAATCCAAAGATCACATTAGCACAATTCAACTCCAAGAACTCAACATTTACCATAGCAACCAAAAATACTCATATTAATAACACTTTTTACTGGACTTGAACGAGAAATAAATGAATAGTACCTCGAAAAACCTACAAATTCAAACCAACATCCATATATCATCACTCCATAAGACAAAAGTTTTCTCCATTCCAACACAATCCACACTGAACAACAAGTATGAGGTTAGGGAAGCCTTGAACGATTTTGCAAACTTCATCCTTAGCCTCACGCTTGACTTCCTATTTACACCTTCCGAAAACAATGGACAACAACAATATATATTTTTTTTTTCACGCAATCTTTTCGAGTCGCTCAACCACATCCTTCATGGTGGGTCTAGCCTTGCACCTCTCGTCCGCGCATTCTAACCCGATTTGAAAAACTTCCACCACCACACGCTCGTCAAGGCCTTCCTTGAAGATATTTGAATCCACCATCTCCATGTACCTTTTAGAGTCAACCATTTTCCCGACCCACTCCATCAACCGAACCTCCTTCCCATCCTCCCCATTGAAAGGGAAACTGGGCCTCCGGCCCGTGATAATCTCCAAAGTCAAAACCCCAAAGCTGTACACGTCACCCATCACGGTGGCCATGGTGGCCCCATGGAGATACTCAGGCGGCAAGTACCCCATGGTCCCTGCTACCTGGGTTGACACGTGGGAATGGGCCCCCTCTATCCTACGGGCCAGCCCAAAGTCAGCTATGTGGGCCTCAAAGCCCGCGTCCAGCAGGATGTTGCTGGCCTTTATGTCCCTGTGGATGATGGGCGTGTCCAGGTTGTGCATATAGGCCAGGCCTCTGGCAACGCCTCTTATGATGTTAATCCTGCTGGGCCAGGGGAGGGGCGGCCTGGGCCTGGGCCCGGGCCCGGCGTCCTCCGTGTCATAGAGCCACTGGTCGAGGCTGCCCTTCTCGATGAACTCGTAGATGAGGACGCGGTCCGAGCCCGAGGCGCAGTAGCCGAGGATCTTGACGATGTTGGAGTGACGGATCTTGCCCAGGGTCTCCATCTCCGCCCGGAACTCGCGCAGGCCCTGGAAGGCGTCGTGGGAGAGCTTCTTGACGGCGACGACCGGGCCCGAGCTAAGTTGGGCCTTGTAAACGAGCCCGAAGCTGCCGTCGCCGATGATGAGGTCAGGGGAGAAGTTTCCGGTGGCGCCGGCGAGCTCCTGGATGGAGACGGAGTTGAGTAATGGGTCGAAGGTGGCGCTCTCGTCGACGGATGAGGTGGAGAGGCGAGATTCGGGCCCGGAAACGGGCTTAGAGAGGGGCGAGTTGCGAGGCAGGGGAGGGGGTACCGCGCGGTGGCTGCGGCGCCGTCGCTTGGAGTTGCGCTTGCAGATGAGGATGACGGAGGCGAGGATTAAGCTGACTACCATGAAGCTGGCTGAGGCTGCCAGGACGGCTTGGAGAGTTTGTTCCATTTTTTTCTTTTTTAATTTTTTTTTTTTTTNTGTCAATTGGAGGAGAAATTAAGGGATAGGGAAAGAGGGCAGAAACTGAAGTTTGGGAGATGAGTAATTTTGACCGATAACGTGATGAAGGAGAGAGTAGAGACGGCCCCCATTAACGGTGGGGAGATGGGAGAGATTATTCAAAGAAAAAGGGGGAGGAAGACTTGAGATTCTTTGTCTGTAGGGTAGACTTAGTTGGGTGGTCAACGGCGTTTGGCCGAGTACTCTTCACACATATTATTTTTTTTGGAAAAAAACTTTTTACCACCCGAACTATCACGATTTTGTCGTTTTCATACAAACTTTTTCTTTTTGCAAACCACCATATTAACTGCACCTTTTTTTTCACTTTGCCCTCTAAAACCGTTTTTAAAGTTGTTTTGTAGGAAAAAACTGATTTACAAGGGTATTTAGGGTATTGCAAATTTCTAAAATATTACAAAAATACCCAAAGGACCAAATCATAATTTATAGACTATTCAAATATAACAAATTAACCCCTATTCTTTGTCAAATTCTCACCTATTAACCTATTTTTATTCATTTCCATTTTTTAATTAAAAAAAATCAATCAAATACGGCCTCTTGAAACCCGCCTGTGCCAAACCCTCACCGCCGCACCTCACCCCCAAAAATTTCCTCAGGAGGTCGACGAAAACCCTAGCCGTCGGATCCACCCGAGCTCTCAGCACAACCCAAAACCCTAGCCGTCACCGCCGCGCCCCAATCTGAGCCCTCCTCTTGCACAACTGCAAGCCGCAGCTCTCCGACGCCCATCGCAGTCACCACCTTTGGCAAAGGCTGCAAGACCAGCACCACCTCCAAATTTGGCTCCCTCGCACGCATCGGCTTCTTTGTCGTCGCCATTGACGCAGACATCGGCCTCCGCAACTTCGACCTTCTCCTCAGCCTCAAGAACCGCGTCAAATACACCATCTTCGAGGTCCTCAATGGCGATGAGCCAAGGCTTGGAGAAGAAGTTGGATCAGGAGGATTGGGGCATTTCTTCTTCGATTTCCCCAATTGCTTGATGAGTAAATAGATTGAGTAAATAGATTGGAGCTTTTCTTCTTTCTCGACTTGGCATTTGGCATTTTTTTTAGGCAAGTTCATTTGCTTGATGAGTAAATAGATAAGTTTTTTGTTTGTCCCAACTGTAAAATGCATCAATGGTTACAAGTTTCGTGAGAGGGGGTGCAGGTGTTCTCGATTGTAATGCTACAGATGAGAAAGAATTATTTATTTATTTTTTTTTTTAAATATCTTAAATTCCTAAAATACCCTCAGAAAACCAGTTTGAATGAGGTGAAACCAGGCGTAAACCTGGTATAGGGAGCAATTTGGCAAACTAGCATAGTTGAGGTAGTGGTTTGCAAAAAAAAAAGTTTGTATGGTAAAGCGCCAAAATCGTGATAGTTCAGATGGTAAAAAGTTTTTTTCCCTATTTTTTTCCATTTTATTTAAGAAAATTTAGTTTTATATCAATTTTACAGTTCAACTCTTCGTAAGTAAAAGATTTAGGATAAAATTTTAAAACCATTTAGCTAAATGAGAAACTAATTCAACTTTTCATAAGTAAAGATATAGAATAAAGTTTTAAAACCATTTAGCTAAATGAGAAACTACTTCTATAGTTAAAATAAGAAGGAACTTGAGTTATGTAACTGATATATTCATATATTGGCTAACCAAAATAATGCCAAGTACAATTAGATCGACCAATTCAAGAGCCGAGCTAGGTTGATCTACAAGAGATCAAACATGTAGACCAACAGTGGAAATAGGTCACCCAGTCTAGAGAACCACTGGGAAAAGCGGTACTATATTGGACCTTGAGGCGCCTACATCTCATTGTCAGGCGTAGATCGGAAAAGCGGATTGAGCTCTCCTGAATCGTCCACGACCAAGCTAACCACCTTGGTCAGTTTGTCATGCTATTATGGATTTAATATCATGCCCAATCTTGTTGTCCAACCAATTATGCTAGCCACGTGTTATTTTTATCCAATCATGTTCACACCATCTGTTATCTGATGTGTTTACACTATTCTACCTCAGGTAGTCGTTCTAAATATAAAATCGAGCTACATAGCTTGGTTTTTCTCTATGTTTGACTATTGTGGTCTTTGCTTAGCCAAGACTTGCCATTGATGTAAAAGTTTGATCTCTCCAGTTCTAGGTCAAGTTTCCATCAGACTATTCTAGAGTCCTAACTCGACCTGTTGTTGTCCTTATTTCATTGACCTGATATTTTCCCGGCGTTCATCCTTTGTGTTGTCCGACAACCAATCGAGCTACCCATCCATTCAAACTGCTCAAGTTGTCCCAAGTCATAGGTGTTCCATTGGTCGATATTACCAAACCAGAATAGAAGTGTACAAAATAAAAAATGCCGAACAAACTTCTAAAACTTAGTACTCTGTAATAACTCAAATCGGGGTCATATTTTGACCTAATTTCGAATTATTTTTTTTAAAAAAGAAAAAGAAAATTGAAGCAGAAAAACTAGATATGTAATATTACTGCGAATTATATCCAAATAATGACACCAATATCGTTCCTACTTTTCCTCTATCACTACTCAGTAGAGGAAACTCATCATCGGCGATAACCCTAGCCCCAAATCTCTTCAACTTCACCTCTTCAATCCAGAGTAAATGTGCCTTCCTCGGATAGACATGGCCAAAGGGTCGCCCGGCCCGCCGACCCGGCCCTGACCCGGCACGGACCCGGCCCGGTCAAACCCGTTGACCACGAGTCGGGGACCGGCCCAGATTTCAAATGGGCCGTGTAAGGGTCATCCATTTCATGACTCGGCCCGAAGGGTCAGGGCCGGGCCGGGTCGATGACCTTTCTTTTCATTTTTTTTTTATTTTTTTATACGTTTTTTTAAAAAAAGCACGGACCCGGCACGAATATAGGTCCGTGCCGGTTCAAGGTCAGTGTTTTCGAGCCCGGCGACCCGGCGGGCCGGGCCGGGTCGTGACCCGGCCTGGGTTTTGGCCATGTCTATCCTCGGCGATGGCATTACTCCGGCCAGCGGTCACATCTAACCGCTCGGCCCATCCCTGAAATCGCGAGCCTCCGATGCTGGTGTATGGTCTATGACTAAAGTTCTGCCCTCAATCGCCGACGGGCTTGCGACTGGAAGTAGGAAATTAAACTATAAACTAGAAATAAATGATTAAAATGCAAATGATGATGAAATCGGAAATAAACAAATAACCAAATAAAAATGGGAATGAAATTGGTCCCAGGTCGGTCTACACTCTCGAATAACTAGTCCAATTAATGCATTTATCAAATTTCACTCGTCTTCTAAAACTACCGGTCCTAGATAGCAATAAGCTCTGCTACCAGAATTTTTCCTTATTGTTACTTAATCAAAATAGGCTCTTCAATTAATTCTAACTAGCGAATAACTCGGAATAAACTCTCCTAATTTAATCCACTAGTCGCATTAAAATCTAGGAAATAGACCGATCTAAGCCACAAACACATAAGCTCGGTTCATGTAACTTATGTTGTGTTATCCCTAACAATGCACGACTGTTAGTTGCTACAAACGAAATAAGAGCGACGACAATTATGGATCGAAGCCTCAAATCTAGCAATTAACATGCAATTCCTAACTTAGGTGATCAAGCTAAATTAAAAATCACACATTATGACATGAAACTAGAATAACACAAACAATTTTATACGACGAGTAAAACGAAATAAATTGCATTAATCGAACATAGTCATCGAGGGTTCAACTTCTCTAGAACTGAATAAATGTTTAGCTACACATAGCTAAATAATAAAAGTAAAGATAATAACTTAACATGTTCTTCAAACAAATGAAACAGAGAAAATATATAAATAAAACCAAACTCCTTTATGATCACTCTAGTCCACGGCCCAAATTGTCTTCACAGCCAATGAATTGAGTTTTTCCTGCTAATGGTAAAAAATGCTCCCTGTTCCTCTCGCAGTCTTCACCGCAAATAATCTCTGTTAACTTCTCGCATAGGCTACGAGCAAGATGAATCAATTTCTCTCCCTTTAGGATAATAATTCAAAGTCCAATTTCCACCAAACTCTCCCAGCATACCCAAGGAGAGTCCACTCAAAATCAAAATTCCAATCCCCTCAGCCTGCCACGCAAGTCATCAATAATCTCAAGAGTCCAATTCCAATTTCACTTCCATCCCACAATTCCTGCCACGCCACTAAACCATACTCACTAAACAAAAATCCCACCAAATAATTGAGAGCCATCTGCGTGTGCGTATTCGGCAAGTGCAACAATATAATCCACGTCATTACTTATTTAATTAGTCACTTCATCATTGCCACATCACAAATAGCCATATCATCAAATAGTCTCTAAACTGCAAAATAGACATAAAATTCGAATATTGGTGTACGTCCGTTCATAAAATAAAATACGTGAGAAAACTTGAATAATACACTAAAATCAAATACTCAAATATGAAAATTAAATCACTTAATACTACAAGATTTCTCACGTATCAGGTGCTTCTCGGTCGGTCCAGGTGGGTCTCCGATGGGTCTTTCATGGGCGGTCTCCCCTCAGTTGCAGGTGTGTCTTCTTGGGTTTGACGGTTTGGCCTCGATCTGTTGCTTGTCTGAGATTGGGGCTTTCCGGTCGGATCCACCTTTTCCGGCGGGACTTCCGGACTTTGGTCGTCGAAGGTCAGCGGTGTTGTTGGGTGAAGTGCGTTCTCAGCGGGTGGGGTGGGGCTCCGGTAGCTGAGGAGGTTCGCGTCGGGGAGATCGGAGTTGGGAACCATGCCGCTCTCATCCCTCGATTTTCTGGTGTTGGGGACGGGGGGGTTCCAACACTCTCATGCTCGACTAGTGGTGTTAGACGAGTTAGGGCTCTGATGGTGGCGGGAGCCTGTGCCGTTGTTCTTTTGGTTGGAGGTGGGTCGATTCGGGAAATGGTTCGGGGCTCGGTTTCGGCTACTGTATAGGCGGTTGCGCAATTTCGGTAGTGGTTTCTTGGGCTGGGACTCCTTCTTGTGTAGATTGTTCACTACTGGTTGGGCCAGATCGTTTGCCGGGGTAGGACTTTGTTTGTTTTTGTTTTGTTTGTTTTGTTTAGTTTGTGTTGTCATTGTCGGTGTTTTGTCTGTGTTTGTATTTGTGTTTTAGGTTTGGGCCGTTGGCCTCGGTTAGCTCGAGTGTGACTTTATTATCCTGTTGGGACCTTACACTCGGACATTACCCTGTTGGGGCCGTTGTTGTGTTTTTTGTGTTTCTTGTGTTTTGCCGAGTATTACCCCGTTGGGGTCGATTCTAGGTGGTCTTTTAACTTGTCCTCTCTGTTTTTGCAGTTGTTGGCTGTCTGTATTCGGTTGTTTGCCGTTTGTAAGCTGGTGGCTGCACTTTTGCACAATTGTGCACTTTAATATATAATACTTTTATCGTTTCGAAAAAAAAATATCCAAATAATGCTAGTTTGACCTAATTTTGAATTTAAAAGAAATGAAGTAGCTAATTATATCCAAATAATAAATGCAATGAGGAACTAAATACTGAAGCAACAAATACATTACACCTGTAATGCATCGTCATTGCTAAGCATTTTCCTAATAACAACAAGAAAATTTAATTAACAAAAAATAATCATTAAACCAATTTAGCTGGATAACAACTTGCAAGAGCATATTCTTTGGTTGTTTTGATTATCTATACTTATATAAAAGGGATCCTATTTATTACATTTAGTATCCAGAAAAGTCAACTGCATTAAATGCCATTACTATTTTTGAAATTGATTTCGAGATCGTTGATGCTTGTCCTGTTTGATGGATGTTTTGATATGTGCTTTGTGTTTTCTCTGTTGATTATATGGAGTTGTATTCAGTGTTGCCCGATGGTGTCAAGATTGTTTGGATTATCAATGGTGATTATGCTCGATTCTCTTTTCGATGCCGGTTCTTGGTATTTTTAATGTGTGCGAAAAATTTTTGGAATCCTTGTTTGTTGCATATTGATTGACTGATTGTTCTTGATGATCATATGGCATTT